CCGCCGCACCAACTCCCTCCCCCTGCTGTCCCCCTCCATAATCGCTCAAAGGTGGCCAATTCCAACAGTCATCAGGGCACTTGTCTGTCCTCTCCCCTCTCATCGCCTCACTGCTGCGACGCCAAACTTGCCAAACTGTCACCGCCACCGGACCTATAGCCGCGCTGCTGGGCGTTAGGAGGGGCGGCGAACCGCGCGCTGCCCGGCAGCCTGCTGCTCGCAGGGCGCCCTGCTGTGGTTCGCGCGACTGTATATCCAGCCTGCTCGAGTCGAGCATCTCGGGGGGGATTAATTATGTAGCCGCTGCATGTCTCCTCCAAGATTGCCCCGCCATCATCCAGCGCCATGGTTTATTTAGGTACAGCTGACATACCCTCAGACCCCTCACGCCCCACCTTGCCCCTCTCTCTCTATCTCTCTCTTACATAAACTCTCCCAACCATTATTGAACTGGTGTAACTAGTTTTTCTCGCGGAAAGTGACACCTCCGAAGAGTACTACGACTAAAATCTAGTCACGTATTCTGTGGGAATATTTCTTCAGAACAAAAATGAACTAGAAAAAAAAAGTGACTTTTGATGTCGAAAAGGTGTCGCAAGTATTCAAAACAAAATAAAACAAGTTAATGTTTTCGACAAGTAGCTCTGCGGAGGTCGGACCAAACGGAAGACGTAAGGCTAGAGCCGGCGCTTGATTGATCTTGCTTGTCGATATTCGCAGCGTCAGAGTCGGACTCGTCATTCGCTTGAGGTGGAGGTCCTGCCCCGGACAAACCTCCCCCCATCCATTCATCTGTCGGCCTGCGCTCCCGTCTGTCTATCTGTCCGTGTGTCTGGCCAGCTGCTGAGGAGACGACGCGGCTGCGAGACAAGGCCCGCCAGCTGCCGCAGGAGATGCTGCTCCATGTGCCAAAGTTCCTTTTGAGGTCCTGAAAACTGTATTTATCGTCGCCTACTCTTGGCAAGAGTTAAAGTTCCTTTGAGAAGAGAGTTTTCATGGTTTCACGCGCGCATGGTGGCTGGTGGGGGGGAAGTCGTGGGCGGGGAAAGCGGTGGTGGTGCTCCGGGGAAAATTAGAAGGCTGTGGAGGGGGAATAGGGATGGAGAGGACGGAACTGGGAATGGGGAGGGGGGAGGGGGGAGGGGTCCACGGTGCGCAGGCCATGCTCCAGGGGACACGGAGAGACTCTGGCACAGACGCTTGGTACATCCGTAATGGGCTGAGGATGAAAGCCAAGTGAGAGCGATGCTCTCTTGCGGCAGCTCGTAAATAAAAAGAGAAGGGAAAAAGAGGTGTCTGTATGTCGAGTTGGGCGGACGAAATAAATGCTTCTCGTGCACTACCATGTCGCTCGCTGCAGTCAGTTGCTCTGCAACGCGAGGAGAACTGCGTGCTCGGACGGGCGGCTTATGGCGGCGCAGGGGGCCACTGAAATACCACGCGCAGCTCCGTGGTTCTGGTAGTGAATGGTGTGATAAAGGTCCCTTGCTCTGCTTGCACTGCAAGTTATCCAGCCGGCAGCCGCGCCAGCAGCGGGGATAAGTTTCCCGCGGCCGCGACCCGCCCCGCCCCGCCCTGCCACGCCCCGATCGTTTTGTCCCCTCGGCCGCTTAAACTTTCATCGCTCGTCGCCGTTGTTGTTGTTGTGTGTGTTGAGTAGGCCTCCAGCCAAATGGTTTGCGGCGCTGCGCGGCTAGGCGGCCAGCGGCGCGCGCGGAAGCTGGCGGAAGCTCATCTATTTCCCTTTCACTTGGCTAAGCGGCCCGCTGCTGCCGCTGCTGCTGCTGCTGCTGCTGCTGCTGCTGCTTCCCACTCCTCGCCGCTACCGAGTTGGGAGCCAAGCTCCCTTCCCCGGAGGTTAGGAGGTCGGTTTCACCTCGGAGGCCGCCCCCTTCTCTTTCTCTCTCTTTCTCTCGTTCCCCCCACCACTACCCAGACCCCTCGCTTTATTTTGTTTTCGTATTAAGCGAGGGGAGAGTGGGGCGTCGTGCAGTCACGCGGCGCGGTGCGGGCGGGAGACTTTTGAAGGCTACAAATCGTAATTTTGGGGGCACGCGCGTGTTTCCTTTCTTCTCGCTCGTTCTGCCCTGTTTTGGCCGCGCCCATTGAGCCATTAGAGGCTCCTGGAGGAAATGGCTCGGAAAAGCAGGCTGGGATTATACAGACGTCTTAAAGTGAAGAAAGTTGTAATTGGCTATTAAGCTCAAAAAACACGGCGAAATGCCGTGGGCATCAAAGAGGCCGCGTTCTTTCTCCCTGGCGGGGGTCGCCGCCACCTCACGTGCGACGCGCGGCGCGGCGGGGGGCAACCTCTGGCCCGGTCTGACGTGGCCACTTTTCTTTTTCGACGCCGCTAATGGAAAATATGCCTCTCGGTTTCTATATTTCAGCTGAGCGAGGACCTGGGCTACGTGCTGTACTCGGCGCTCGGCTCCTTCTTCATCCCGTCCTGCATCATGGTGTTCGTGTACATCCGGATTTACTACGCGGCCAAGGCGCGCGCGCGCAGAGGCATCAGGAAGAACCCACAGAACCAGAAGAACAGCAGGCAGCAGGACCACCACCACTCTCCCCGGCAGGCCAACTCCGACAAGCAAGTGACCAGCTTCAGGTGAGTGGACGCGGTCCCGGCGGGCACCGCACCCGCGCGAGCAGCGTGCCTTGCTTCGCCCATCTCATCCGCTGTATTGAAGGTGCGGGTGCTTGTCTGTGTGCAGCACGTCCCCGGCGAGGGCCGGCGGCGGCGCTGGCTCCAACGGAGGCGGCCCCGGGGCGGGGGGCTCGGGGGGCGGCCCAGGGGGTGGTCCTGGCTGCATTCAAACTTCGGTCACTGTGGAGACGCCCCCGGTGATACCCAACATCACCTGCGACTTTGCCAGCGACATCAGCACGAGCGACAACGCGGAACAGTCCCAGGTGAGTGGCGGGTGCCTTTGTGGTGCCGACAGTTAGGGTTTGTAATTCCATAGGGATGGGGAACGTCTTTGTACTCTGCGGTACTTTGTCAGTTGCACACCTGCGAGAGAAGTTGTCCTAAACTGACCACCATCCTTACTTCTTTTTATACCCCCACAGTCGCATTAAAATGTTGGCCGTGCTGCCACGTTTTCAGCGACCAATAGAAACACAACACTGAGGGGGAGTGAGTGGGCGCTTTCAAATGCAGATCGACGCTAACACGTTTTCGTAATTTGCCTCTTTTGTCTCATTGATGCTGCTCCGAGAAAGCTCCCTCAAGGAAATGAGAGCAGGGAGGGAGAGAGGGGGTGGGTGCGCCATCAACTTGCTAGTCAAAATGAACTCCCGAAACTTTCTTCCTTTTTTTGTTTACCCCACTTTCCTCCTTACTTCTTAGTGCGTTCCGAAAAATGTGCAGGGGATTTTCTTCTTTTTATCCCCCCCACGCCTCCAGTCTTTCTCCGGGCTCCGAGATCCATTTAAGCGCCCGAGCTGTTTGTACTGAATTGGTATTGGGTTTTTGGGGGTGCGCGTCACTTAAAGGAAGGGTTCCGTGGACCGGCCTCGGACGGCGCGGCTTCCAGCCGCCCGTAAATTGGCATTTCCCACCCCGCCATGCTAACGGGAAGCGATGTAACGCCGGGGCTGTTCTGTCTTTCCGCAGGACGCCTCCGGGCCGTACCTGGACGCGCCAAAGGACACGCTCAAGGTGGTGGGCACGGGGCAGGCGGCCCGCCCCGTGCTCCTGACGCCTGTGGCCGCGGCCCCGGCGCTGGGTGCCTCGCAGCACCGGGGCTCCGTCATGTCCGTCAACGGCGAGCTGGCGCAGCAGGCGGCCGCCATGCAGCGCATGCGGCAGCCGTCCGTCGGTATCGACACGGACATGGTGAGCGAGTTCGACCCCTCGTCGTCTGACTCGGGGGTCGTGTCTCGCTGCGCCGTCGTCAAACCCCTAAAACTGCGCCTCTGTCAGCCCATCTTCGGCCGGCGCACCACCTCCAAGACGAAGCGGGAGATCATCGACATGGGCCGCATCCCGGGCGGACAGCAGGCCGTCGTGGAGGTGGTGCAGTCGCCGCGGCCGATCAAGCGCGACCCGGAGCGGGAGAAGCGGCGGCTGGCGCGCAAGAAGGAGAAGCGGGCCACGCTCATCCTGGGGCTCATCATGGGCTCGTTCATTGCGTGCTGGCTGCCCTTCTTCCTGCTCTACATCCTCACGCCCCTCTGCTCCTTCTGCTACGTCCCGGAGAAGGCCTTCTCCATCGCCTTCTGGCTGGGCTACATGAACTCGGTGCTCAACCCCGTCATCTACACCGTGTTCAACAAGGACTTCCGGCGTGCGTTTCGCCGCATCCTGTTCAAATGATGTTTGGCGCCGCTCTGCTGTTGCGGTGCCTGGCCGGCGAGCAGGCCCGCCGCCAGCAGGCCCGCCCGCACTGACCACGACCGGTGACATCCGCAGCCTAGTCCCAGGCCGGCGGCGAGGGTCTCGTCACTCTGCCCGTCGTGAGCTTTGGTGCCCGCCTGGGATCCGTACACCCATCAGCAATAATTTTCAGTCAACCCTTTTATTTTTGTTTCCAAAATATACAAATCTGTTCTTTTCTTTAACCCTCATTTCTTTTTGGGGGCCCAATAGAGGCTGATTTTTGGGTGGGCCCGCAATGTTTTACGCTTATCATCTGCGGTGTTTTACGTGTTCATATTTACGGACGTGCGACGGCGGTGGTCTCGCGGCAGCAGTGTGTGTGAAAGCGCAACATGACTTAGCAGCCTGTGCGTGTGCTTTGTGTTATGGACTTAGTGTTTTGCTAAGGGGTTCGATTCAGTGAACAGGAGCGGCTTCCACTTTCTTCGACATATTTTGTGCTAAGAAGACACGGACCTTTTAAACAATTTTCAGAAATAAAATGTAGAGGTTTAATTCATAAGATTAGGAATATAATAACAATATATACTGCCTGACTTCCCGTGAACTCGTTGTTTTCTCTCTACATTTCTTATGTTAGTCATTCAGAATGAATGAGTATGTGTTAAGCGGGACCAGACAGCGTGTCTCTAGCAATATCTTGATTAAAGACGAATGTCTTTTCAAGCATTTCGAAATACATTGTGTCCTGTTTTGATAGGAATTGCATATGCGATGAATGTATTTCGTACTACGTCATTCTAAATAATTGTTTTGTAAAAATTGGATTTTTAAATAATGTTTTTTTAACGTTTTGTGTTTAGTATAATTGCTTGAAATACATTATGTCTGGTTCCAGGGGCATATATTTCGCATAATATTTGTTGTGAGATATGCTGTTACCATCTTGAACTTGTCGCTTTCTTGCAGAGTTACGATGTGCTCGTCCTTGATTTTTAAGTCTATGAATGACTAACCATTAGGGCACATTTTTTAAACAAAGTTTCAGTACTCTTGGGAAGAGAGATTAAATAGCTATCGCACTTGTTCAGGCCATCATTTCCTAAGCAATAACCGTGAAATAACATATCTGGAGCGTATTTTCACAATTTAACGAATAGTTATGCCCTTCATGCTTCAAGACTAAGGACTAAAAGCAAACTGTAAGAGTGACTGTCAGTGTCCTTATTTTAGATTGAGTTTTATCTTTTGTGAGACTGCAATGGCGTTTTGCATTTTGTGTTTATCTAGCATAAAAGTTCATATTCATGGCTATTGAGCATTTGTTTTTTAAAAAAAATTAAGTATTGTATTGGAGCTTGTTTACCTAACCTTGGTTTTTAGGAGGTTTTGTTCCTCTACCTTTAACACGTGCGCAGTTGCCTTTTTGATCGGCGGTGGTACACTGGCAGTCATTACTTGACCATTCGATTGTTTTACCTAGAATATTGTCGAAGTTTGCAAAACGAAGCCAAGAAGTATTTTTCGAGGCGAAATGTTCTAACAATCTGGACTTAAATCGTACTGTTTAAGGTGACGATTGTAGATATGTATTTTGTACGGTACAAGCTCTGTAAGACGTTCGTGGGCCGGTACCAGAAATTTAAATCAACATTTTTATCAACCTCAAATTTTCAATTACATTTGTTAAACTGTGATAATTTTTTTGAAATCAACCTATATTATTGTATATTCATATTAGTTATATGTCTACTTTCATTATTTGTTCTGCGTAGTTTAATGTAGGTCGCACCTGCGAATTTGCTTGGATCTATTTTTTTGCATTGATGCTCTGCTTTCACCTAAATAGTCACAATTGCGTTTAATATTTCAAATTAAAGTACTTATTCGTTATGCTCTCTTGGGCCATTGTGCCCTTTTAGGTGTGAGTCAGTCAATGCTGAAAATATCAAAAGAGAACGTAATTCGGGCCTCAACTTGCATGCCTCTATATTCCTTTCAGTAGTATCCACTATGCTTTGTCGCCAGATCGTCCAGTTTTGCTCTGTTTCTTAAAATTAAACTTTATGGTGTGACAAGAAATTCGCAAAAATTCCTAACGTTTCTATAGTTCCTTCCGGCCACCATTGCGTTGCCTGTACAATCAAAAATGTAATCTAAAACGGGTACTTATCAAATGATCTAGGGGACAGGGTGAAACAAGAGATTCTAAGAAGTACGATGTAAAATGGAAAAATCTTAAACGAATTTGTCATTTTTCGTTTTTTATATAAACCCCTACCCATAAACGTTGCCTAAACGTTTCTATCTCAGTTCTTTTTAGTGGATACCACACTCAATTAAATTCTTCTATAGACCAAGTACCTCGTCTTCGCTCAAGCATATAGGGAGGCACATGATTAGTCACTGTCTGGTATTTATAAATTCTTCGTGTAAGTCATCTCTTGGCCCTAGCGGGTTTAAGGTATGACAATTTAAGGTAACTTCGATTCCTAGAGGACACTGCTTTGGAAACAAAGTATTTTAGGGAGATATATAGTGCTTTAGAGTTTTCTTTTTAGATGAATTTTATTTAGTGCAGACTTGGCCTGCTTACCAGTCTGCCTGTTTTTGACCATATTGTAGGCATCAATCTTTATTGTCAAAGGTTTGCAACGAACCCAATGGTGCTAAAATCGTAGCTGTAAATAACATACATATAATTACGAATAATTTATTGTAAATGTAAATATTGTACATATAGAGAGAGGAAGCCAAAGAAACCTAAAGATTTCTTGTTTGTATTTCAGAAAAATTTTGAGAATTGGAGTTAACAGAGACTTCAGTTGACAGCTTTATTCGCAGCCAAACTGTCTGCGCGACAATAACTATTTTGTGTTCCACTTCTCCTTTTCGTGCAAGTACTTCTTATTTATAATTTAGGTTGTGATCACTTTGTCTTCTGAAGAGATTGGGTTGCCGTGTTTTTCCTTGAATAGATACGCGCAAGTGCTGGAGGCGAAGTCATCTTGTGATCCTACTTAAAATATAGAAGACTGTTCCTCTAACTATATTTTTTCTGCTCACAATGTTGTAACATTATGTTTAAAGTGTGGAGAATTTATTGTTGAATTATTGAACTGCTTCCTGCTTATTTCGAAATTCCGTCCGGTTTCGGACGCCTTTCCTTGAACTAAGAGTTCATATAGTTCTCGAAACAGTAGTAAGTGCCATCGAAACTCTATCCCTCTCTTTCTTGCAAAACTGACTAATAGCACACAGTATTATTTATGTCATGTTCAAAGCCGTTCTTTTAATCCTCAACGCGTCGACAGTTTCAGGTTGTCATTTCTCTTCGCTTTATTTCACTGCCCTTAAAAATGGCCATTTCTGCCTCAGAAAAACAGTAAATTTGCATTTTTTTACTGCCACTATTAACCCGAGTGACTCAGAATGGACGTCGCCATTTTTGATTGTAAGGGAGCTCAGAGTGCGTTGAGCGCGACGCGTAAACATAAGCGTCCATCCACTGAATTTCCGACCTGTGACTGAAAAGCTAAGAGCGCTTTGAAGGAATAATTCCATGCTTGCTTTGCACGGCGAGCACAGAGGGGGGTGCTGGGATTGGAGGAACCCTCCCAGCCCGTTACTTGGAGCTACAGACAGTCTTCGAACTGCCGGGCCGAGGGCTCTGAGCCCCACGCCTCGACCCGGCTCTCCGCAGACCAAAGCATGAGGTGCCTCTTGGGGACCAACGCAATCTTCACAAAATTCTTGTTAAATTCTATTAAAAAGCATTCTTTCCAGCCCGCTTAACTTGTGCAACTGGTTTGCACATAGCCAGTCAAGATGCCCTTACGAGCATACACATATAATATATATACATATATACTTTATTTTTATGAACATAATGCCGCTATTCTCTCGAATCAGATAAAAAAAATGGGAAGGTGTCTTGCCAAAGCTGAAGAAGTGTTGTTTATAGTACTTTAGGAGTTTTACTGACACCAAACTGTAATAAGGTGCTGTTGTCCTCTTAACTAAATAAGCAAATGGAAGAATGTTGACCTAGACACTCAAAAACTTCCCGCATCATCAAAATAAGAAAGAGTATTAGCCTTAACTCAGTTTTTGTTGAAATTTATAGAGTCTATTACTACACTCTCGATAGGAAATTGGTATACTCACGCAACTCTGTTCTCTAGAGTTTGAGAGTTATGGGCGATATTTTACATGTCCTGTTGATTGACCATGCATAGGCGTTACCGTGTAAATAACACAACGAACCTGTATAAAGTTTAACTATACATACGAGTCTTGTGTCTATGTACATTTGTGGGAAATTTGTATAAGGCGATGGTTTAATGTATACATACTTAAGCGAAAATGTCTTCATAGCCTGTTCTTTAATGTAATAATATGTATGTATTGTTCCCTGTACATAGAATAATGTAATCATTTGAGAAATTATGTCTGTTGATCATGAAAATCCTTTACTGTAATGGTGGGTAATTGAAACACGGGCATATATTAACAATATATTTCTGTTTCATTCTGCGAATGAGTTTCTCTGACTTAAATCACTAAGCCCACAAAAAAAAACCCCAAAAAAAACACTATCTTCACGACGGTAACACAGAAACAGCAATCATGTCTGATGTCAGAGCAGGGTCTCTTCGACACATGGGCGGGCAGAAAGGGCGGGTGTGGGACGGTGTGGAAAAGGGGCCTAAAAGTTTTTGGCCTGTCTCAGCGTGGAAACTCCGCTTCACTAAGTTTACCTTTAAAAGCGCATACAGTGTGTGCGTGTGTGAGGCGCTGAATATTCATCAGTACGAGTTGATACGCTGAAGTTGCGCCTCGTCACACTCGCCGCGTCGCCAGTAAGCCGCCGAGAGCAAACACCTCAGTCAGAGTGGCTCTCGCTATTAGCGACAATGTCGGCACAAGTGATCACGCCTCGCGCTCGGCGGCGCCACTGTAGCGCCTTCGGGTGTCGTAGGCTCCGTGTCGCCGCCGCTGAGAAACGGCCGGAATATGGAGATGCGCTGTACAAGTTTTTGTGGTTGCGCAAAGGATCCCGACGCAAAAAGATTTGTTTGCTTTTGGTACGCTTTCGGTACGCTATCGGTTCGCGGAGGGTCGCGCT